AGAGAGAGAGAGAGAGAGAGAGAGAGAGAGAGAGAGAGAGAGAGAGAGAGAAGCAATACAAATGTTGATCACCAAATAAAGCAAACCTGTTTGCTTTGGACTACAACATGTACTGAGGCACGATCAACTCAAGTTTTAGAAGTAACATAACCATACATAATATTCGGAACTCAGTGTACCAAGCTTATGATCTCAGGATCAGACTCACGTTGCCATAATAAGCTTATTATTTTTAAAGTGTTTTACAGCGCTAGCAACTGCATACGGTCATAACACGAGCGCGCGGGTAAGCTTAGATCTATATATCCTATCCTACAATAAGGCAAGGCTTATGGTGACAGTCTCAAACTTTTACTGTAAAACGGAGAGGCGGGTGGTTGGCGGGAGCTCTGATCCTTCTTTCCTATCAAACGTTACTCTCTTGTAACACCTCTAGTCTTCTGCACTTATATGATCTTATTGTGTTGCAAGTGCCGTAAAATTCTAACTAAAACGAAAGGGAGAGATGGGAAATAGGAGTTGGTATCGATTAATTTTAAAAGAAAATACAAAATGTACCATGTCTCTACTCTCTACTCATGACCTTTTAGTATTCGTAAGAGTTTTACGGCATTTGCAACACAATAAGGTCATAATATAAGTGCTGAAGAATAGATGTGTTACAAGAAAATAACATACACAAAAAGGGGAGCTAAGGACGATAGATGTTGATAAGAAAGAAGGAGCAAACCACACCCGAGCACCCACCACCAACCACCCATTACTCATGAGCTGCTCCCTTTTCTAGTATTATTAGACAATCCCTTGTTTAGTGAACGATAGACGTATAAAAAAATCGCTTGCTACTCCCATGTCCTCCCACGTATACCATGCCAAGAAACAGGGCATATTGATCATTTTAAGGCACCCCGAAAAAGTCTGCTCTGGCTAGACATCCGTTGACACTGAACTTTGAGCAAAGAGAAACATCAATTCAACCACGGCTGTTTTATTTAGTCATTTTCGAGATGGAGAATAAAAATTATACATCAGAAGAAAGAGAAGTAGGACCTACCACCAGTGCTGCCTTCCAACCATCATCAATACATCTTTATCGTGTTATTATTGTTGGTACAACTACACTAGCCAAAGCTGATCGGAAACAATAGAGCCATGAACCAACAACTGAACGAGGGCCTTGTTGTATGTTGTCTGAAATACCCTTGAAGAGACGGGATTTACTACTTTAATTTGTTTTTGTGGGGTTTTTTTTGTGTTTTTTTTGGGGGGGGTTGTAAAGGAGATACCCATGCCGCCATGGACGGTATATTTGTCATTTAGCAATGCTGGGAAAAGGCAAGATTACAGACATGAAAAGCAAGTCCATACACATTTAGATTGCAACACAAGGGACGTGAAATGTAATGGCTGAGAATCATGTTGAGACAAAACGACAAGGTCCCCCCACCCCCCCTCCCCCGGAGGACCGACAGTTTCGATACCTTTTGTATCTCTACGACTGTTCCGTCAGTTTTTCCTCACTCACATTCCGTCACAGCTGCCCATTTATGTATCTTTTTAGTTAAAGTAAGGGTTTTACGGCACTTCAACACAATATGGTCATATTTTAAAAAAGTGCCGAAGATTAAGTGTTCCAAGAGAGTAACAAAGGAGGGGAGATAAGGACGATAATTAACGTTTCAGTTTGATAGGAAAGGAGGAGCAAGCAAACCACACCAAGAGCACCCGCCAACCACCCACTTTATGTCTCAGGCTCTCACGTGACACAGAAGTGAACAAGATTAGATGGCTGACAATGTCTCAGATGTCTCCTTTTCTGATTTAACTTTTTCCGTAAGGGGTATAGCTACTAAGCTTTGTTTGAGTAAAGAGAAGCACATGGGCACAATAATTATGGTCATTTGTTGCTGGGAAAAGGTAAGGCAGACAGAAACAACAGAGGGAAAGTAAAGAAGTAGGACTACCAGTGGCACCCTCCAGCCACCCGCTCTGAGAACTGGCTTTTTTAAAGACGTGCTTACACATAAATCACAAATTTTAATATCTTTGAAGGGCCCCATAACTAAACCAGATGATAGGTCCTTGTAAATGTAAATTCAAGCCCCCATCAACTTTACCTGAAGCAGATCCAAAAACATGACGCGGAAACATTCTCAGCTTCCCGGGAAGCATACAGTGCAAGCTGCAGATTACACAGGTTAAATTACTAACAAACTGACAAGACCTTTCACTGTCTATAGCACTATAGCTGGGAATCAGTCCTAAATGGGTGATGTGAGGAAAATTCATGTAGCGCTTTTCCCAAAGATACAATAACACAATGTCAGGCCTTGATGGGATTAGAATACAGGAGCATACGGTTGTTTAGTATTAGTAGAGATTTTACGGCGCTTGCAACTGCATAAGGTCATATGAGCGCCAGAAGATTGGAGATGTTACAAGAGAGTAACAATCATAAAAAAGAAGAAGGGGAGATAAGGATGATAGATGTTTGATAGGAAAGAAGAAGCAAACCACACTAGAGCACCTGCCAACCACGCATACGGTTGAGAGCCCCAGAGCCCAACAACCAGACTACAGGCCACAGATACAAATTAAACCAAAAAAAAGCAAAGAGACTGAACGTTTCATCGATTTTGTTTCACAATAAAAATACTTTAATTTACCCACAGCATAAAATGACAACACAAAGTAAAATTTCAGCAAGACAATGGAAGCTTGCAAAATCTAAAATGCCTGTTAGAAAAGGCAATAATGTACAAACAACAACTAAGACATAAAAATCAAACACCCCATCAAGGTCCAATTCACTGGGCGATAGTGGAGTTTAATTTTAAAAAGACAATATATATCCAGTTTTGGATGAAAGTGAGTTATTGATTCCACCTGATAGTTTAAACCATGGCTAATATTTTTACCGTAGTCCAGTACATGTATCGATATCTTAATAAATAAGATGGGGAAAGTGTTTTGAAGATAAAGTTGAGAGGCAAAGATTTTTTTGCTTTTCTCTCTTGAATATTTTACGAAACTGGATACAATAGAACACAGCTATAGTGGGACTTTTGGTTCCAGAAGAAAAACCCCGCTGAAGGCCAGTTCCCGCTATTAGGAATGCAAAGGGGAAATTACCCCAAAAAATCTAAAATCCACATGATTACCTCCCTGCCATATCAATAAAATTTGTGCTTTAGATTTAGATTAGTCTTCCTTTTCTTATCAACTTCGTCATAGTCATGTTCTACCGTATACTGTCTTTTAAAATTAAACTCCAGCATAATGATGAAGTGAACAAAATTCAACTTTATATAACAAAACAATAAAGTTAAAATTAGGATTAGAAAATTGTCTTTAAATACTTAAAATTATATTTCATTAAAGTATTAAAAGTTTGATACATTACTACAATTTTTTTTAAAAGTGTTTCACGGTGCTCGCAACGGCATAAGGTCATATGAGCGCGTGGGACACACCTAATATTTTCAGTTGGTGGGAAATTTTTTAATTTTGCCCAGGTGAGAACAAAGCAGGAATACTCATTACAAACAAACTCAAACAGAAAATACATTCATAAGAAATTGGTAGACTCGGGACAGCATGACTTTTCAAAGGATACCAGCATTGACACAAAAGTGAAAGTCATACATATAACATAATGATAAAAACACAACAACAAAAAATTGAAAACTATGTTTCTTCTACTGCCGCTCTCACTTCAGAAGTTGTAGATTACAGGATTATTGATTAACACTGCAAGGAAAACAACAACATAGAACGGATGTACACCATACAAGGAATTCACACTGCAAAGATCATCTCACATTTGTGTACACACACACACAGCAACTCACAGGCAATCATTCAATCACCCAATTCCCTCACTAGACTTTTCTCTCCATACATCCTCTCTCTTTTCGATTTTAAGGGAGAGTTCATATTCACAGCACTTGCAACCTAAATAGGTGATAAAAGTGCTTAAGATTAGAGGGGTTACTTAGAGTAACACACAAAGATAAGAAGGAGAGATAAGGACGATGGATGTTTGATAGGAAAGGAGCAAACCCGACATGAGCACCCGCCAACCAACCACTCAGTTATACATGTACATTACCCAAACACATAGATACTAAATGCAGGTACACAAACTATGTGGGTGACACATGCAGATTAAAAAGAGAACACTCTTCTGTCAAGCCAATGTAATGACATATATGCAGAGCACTACACGGCTTAGCATACATACACTGACAGCAAGAAGTGGAGGCTTTTCTCCAAATGGCAGCCACAAAATAATGTACATAAATCTGGCACATGAAAGAGTTTTACAGCATAGTACTATGTCATGCTTCCCAACATCAGCATGAAATGAGATCTTTGAGAATAAAATCTGATGATACCAAATCCTGTACATACAATACAACAAACGCACACAGACAGACAAATTCATATATAAAGCTCGTTTCCATACGGATGAGTCATCAATCATTGACTCTTGCACACGTACCGGTATTAAATACTATCATCCCTCTGAGAACTGCTCAAAATAAGACTGAACCCGAGTCAGTTTCTCTCTTCAACATTCCATCCACAATATCAAATGGCAATCTGTTCGAGGTACACATTGCAAGGACTATCAAACATTCACATTTCGGCCTTGTCTAATGCTTGGTATCTGTAGAGATACATCACACGTTCTATTGATAAAATGTTCAATAGATACATGACTTTCTGTGATGTGATAATATTCTACACATGCAAAAAACAATTCCTTCAGTTCTAGTAAAAAGAAGCAAATCCACATAAAAGCCATTTATTGCAGGGAAATGTAGATAGGACTGACAGACTGAAATAAGAGACGCTCTAGCAGCACCTACAAGAGGCACTATTCTCTGGTATGATGAAATTCAAATGACATGAACGATTTTCTGTACTATAACTATAAGGATATTCTGCTACAAAAAATGAGTTTCTGTGATATTATTCTCTACAGACACAAAAGACTTTATACCACAACATTGCCATTATCCATTATCAATTATACAGATGCAAATGAGCAAACAATATGGAGATAAAATTAGAGTGATGACAAGTTCTTCCTTCACTCTAAATCACAGGCAAAGCTTTGAGAATGACTTCATGGTAGGAAAAGTCTCAAGGCAATGACAGATTTCAACCTACACATTTGCATTTTAATTTAACCTTCTTTGGATATAAACAAACTTTGTAAGTCCCAGAGTGGGTTAAGGAATTACTATTACTATTAGAATCTTGAAAGATTCCACATAATCATGCAAAGCATCATGTGGTTTCAAGGATGAATGAAGATGTACGTAATGGATTGGAAAGTAGGTAAAATGATATACATGTATTTTACGTACAACTTTTGAACCAGCACTGTGCGCAGCCATTATAAATAAACACACCGTTTTCATTTAATTCTTTTTCTGTGAAACTGATTTCATGTTGAGAGAAAAATGAGGAAGCATTTACCTTTATCAAAATCCCACAAGGCAACACATAAAAAAAACATCTAATAAAATATTGGAAGAATGCTGCTATCACAATTAAACATATTACCGAACTAAAAGACCTGGTAATTAAACGGTTATTCACTTCATATGGGATGACAGATTTCAACCTACACATTTGCATTTTAATTTAACCTTCTTTGGATATTTCCATAAATCTAAGTGGAAACATAGAGCAATTTCCACCATTGCTGGAAGAATCTCTGCTGTAATTTTACTGATGTAATTAGTTTTTTAAGTCATAGGAGCCTCTGTCTATTTTGATAATTTTTCATGACAGAATGGCTTTCTGCTTGTGTTTAAAAAGTAAACCTGTTTGTCATGTCATGTTATTAAAATAGCTGTCCTGCCATTCCTATCATTTTCAATCATTTTGTCTGAAATTAATCATATTTTTTGGAAAATTTGTAGAGTTGATTGCTCTTCAATACGATTTTAACAAATTAAAATAAGTTTCACAGTAAACTATTGTTTTCTTTCTTTGCCTATCATCCGTAAAGGTTTGAAAAAAAACCCCAAAACAATGTCATTTTAAAAAATAGACAAACAGTGGGTCAACATGCAAAAAAGAAATCATCCACACATGATTATTGTCTCCGTAGGTCAACGAGCATTTTAATAAAAATGTAGAGTTGTATGTGACGTAAAACCCTTACAAATACAAAGAACTTTTTATGCGGCTTGACACGGAGACATGGGGGGCTGTCACTGTAGGTGGTCTAGGAAGTGTCCTCTTTTCTTCGTCACGGTACTGACCGTTTTGTAAAACAGTAAGTATCTAAAAATTAATTGCAGAAATTGGTACTGACCTTGGAGGGAGAAACATTGCCTAAACGTTGTGACCTAAGCAAAATTGGTCTTCCGGGGAGAAATATTCTGAACCCATTGTCCCAAAATCAAGGTGCACTCAACAACCTTTCCATGTATAACACAACACTCATTGAATAGAGGAGACACTCATAAGAATTTATGGGAATTTTTTTTTCTACAACCATCCCCTCAGCTAAAATTCCATGAACCGTTGTGAGCTAATAATGTATAATTTTGACAGACAGCTGCACATCATAAATGCCCTAGCAAGGGAGATAAGAAAAACATCAAAAGTTTGTATTTTACATCTGGCTGCCACAGTAACCTACAACTTATAACATTGATATATGAAATACATGTGAGGGGCTGCTTAAACCAAGTGGGAGATACATGGCCTGTCCCTGAGATGCAGCACCAGTGAGAGCCATAAAAAAAAGTGCCTTTCTCGTCCAATTTTTCATTACTTTTTCAGCAAATTACCTGTCCAAAAATTGTGTGTGTGTGTGTGTGTGTGTGTGAGTGTGTGCCTTTCCATGTCAGCAACTTGCCAAATCCCTGAAAATTGAAAATGTTTTCTTGTATGAACAAATGCACTTTTGGGAGTTCTGCCAGGCCTTCTCCTTATTGACCCACTACGTCTATATACTGATATGGTTTGAAAGCTTATTTTCTCTACTTTCCAATTCAGAATCCCCCTAAAAAATATTGCGCACCCCACTCTCCCCCAATGGCTCTTTTCAGGTCAATCCTTCAAATTTTTTTGCTTCTAAAAATCTGAAATAGGCGCAACTGTCAAATCCTGAGATATTTTACAAATTTTAAACTGCTGTGGCACGCATGGAAATGAAAGGTATTTCATATATATGGCACTGTGATCAAAACACAAAATAAAAAAGACTGAGTGCCTGCTTTTCCTACAATGACGTACAAAGATCAATATACATACAGGAGACCTCGGAAAAGTTTCCGGAGAACTAAAATATCTAAGACCCAATGCGCTTATCACAACTATTTTCCCAAGCTGTTAAGTTTCGGTAAAAAATATGAGGAATTGAGTTCAGTACATCATGAACGTTGTGATTCTCGTTGGCTTTTAAGTGGACGGACCGCTGTGTTTCAGAGTGCACCATTCGTATATATATAATAAAAACCAGAGGATGTCACCATGCGAGAACAGGCTGTCCCGCCCTAGTTTATGCAGGAACGGCAGAAGCCAGGAGTGTAATGCCCATCTTCATGTAAGGCAAGAGTCCTAGCCTTTCTGTATTAAGCTCAGGCCGGAGTTCACTTGCTTCATGCTGTCCCTGTTACTGGTCTATGCCAAGCAGTCTTACAATTTCCTTGCCAACCCGCTCGGCTATCATTCGTTCAAAATTGTCCATAGTCATAGTAGTGGAATCTGTCCAAAGATGAGCATGGACGCCCCTGTGCAAAAAAAATAATAATCATAACATTTTTGTAAAGGGGTTTTTGATATCATCTTTACTGTAATAAGTTTATTCCTTCTAGAACTATAAACCAATAACAGAGAACCAGGATTGCAGAAAGCTGGAACAAAAATGACAACTGATTGGCTGGCATTTTCATATTGGTTAAAAAAAAAGGGAGGGGGGTGTGTGTCAGTTTGATCGTTGAGTAAAAAGACACACGTTGACCAAATGGTAGCCATTTAGAGTTAAGAATAAGTAGAGAAGACAGACTGAAACAACAGAGCAAAAGAAAAGAAGTAGGACATATCAGTCGGTGGCGCCCTCCAACCACCCGCACACAAGAAAGTTATGAAAAACTGACAACTAAAACAGATCAAGATTTGGCATGCAAAGTAAAGAGAATCACAGTTATCCTCAAAATAAGTACAGTGGTGTCTGCCTATTCTAATAGCAACCCCTTTGAAGAGCAGGCCTTGGTTGTTGCAGGGTGGACATATCTGCTTACACTTACTGAATTTTGGAAGGGGGGAAGGTGGGGATGTTAAGTTCAAAGGTAATGATAACCACCCCCACACACACAAACACACACACATCCACCCCACACACACACATCCCCCCCCCCCCCCCCCCCCCCCACACACACACTGGTCCTTTTCACAGGATGAGGTTGGGTTGTTCATGTAAGAAAGTGAATACACGGGCAGTGCTCAAACATTGGTGATAATGCTATGCATGGTGGCTGAGTCTTTTCTCCTCACACTCACTAAGGAGGGTGGCTCTTAGAGAAAGGGTGACCAAAATTACCAAATAACTAAATCCACGCTCTTGCTTGAATACAGTACCCCGGTACATCCTAACCCTTCCAGCCCCAGCCATTTTTCTGCACTCCCTAACATTAGTCCCAGGTAAATACAGCAGTATTTCAGAAAAAGAGACATGCATTCTAAAAGGTGATGGAGTATCTTTGTTATGAGGTTTAGATAATACATAACAATGTTTAAAGTTAAAGGTAAATGAACAAAGATTATGAAATTAAAGTTTAATAAGGTTTGCTGCCATCTAAAAAAAATGCACGTCAAATTCAGTACCCCTCGAAACTGAAAATATACGCTCTTGGGACAGGTGGCAGCTCGAGGGCAGATAAGAATGTGCTTTTGGGACGGGGGAAGGTACAAGCGCTGCTGAAAATATACGCGTAACGCGCATGGGGCTAGAAGGGTCAACTCTTCTCAATCAGAATGTCACGCTGTGTCATTTCCTTCCACCAGAACCACACAGAGCATGTCATTTTCATCTCCCCTGATCACATATATATAGTACATTTTTGTCCAGTTCTCTTTATCCATGTTTATAATGCTGATCAAGTCAAAAATAGACATGATGAGCTTTCAACTTTGAGAGAATTCGAAGCTTGAAGTCGGATTTTTAGAGTGGAAGCTTGTTCCATCATCCACAATTATTGTGTCACTTTCTAAATCAAGATTGTTAATTAAATCCCTCAACAAAACACCTACGTTTTTTGCATTCAATCCCATTTTCCGCTTCCCCATCTTTTGCAGAAGGTTATTTCTTTAGCATGCTGAACAAGGTAGATCTAGATCTTAAATTGTCAGTGACACATATACACAATTCTGAATGACAGCACAGGTTTAATTCTGGCTGTTCAGGAAAACCTATGACATTATAATACTGGCTGATAAGAGTTAAAATATTCCTTTAAAACAATCACTTACAGTACAGTTGACGACATTTGGATACTTGGTAAAAAAAAAATCGTGAACAGACATACTCTATATTCCATTTCGTATTTTGTTGGAGTTTATAGTGCTCACAACTGCATAAACCCCTTCACTCTACTGACATTCAAATGGCCATTTGCAACTTTTTCAAGAGCATGAAACCCAGAGAAACATGCTTTTATGTAGTGCAAAACATACTTTTTTTTTTTTTTGGTAAGTTTTACTGCGCTCGCAACTGCATAAGATCACATGAGAGCGCGGGACACATGAACCTTTTTCAGTTGGTAGGAAATTTTTAATTTTGCCAGCGAGGCGGACGAAGCCTACTCTTATCAATTTTAGACCACCAAGGGATCTTTAATGAGCGCAACTTGCACATGAGCCCTCCGAGATTTCTCACCCTTGTCCGAGAAGGCTAGGTGTAGATCTTTCCTACCAGAAGATCAGGGATGTGGCTTAAAGACAGCAGTAAGAAAGAGCCAAGGAGTAGCAGTAGAAAGGCTACAGAAAGAGTCAGGAGCCCAGAGGAGGGGGCAAAGGAGGTGTGAAGTGGTGGGGGCAGAAAGAGGAGACGAATGCAGACGACAGGACATTGCTAGAAAGCAGAAAAGGAGGTGAAAGGAGAAAATTTTAGAGAAGAAAATTTTTCGGTCGCTACCCAGATTCGAACCCGGGACCTTTGAATGAGAGGCCAACATCTTAACCTCTAGGCCACGAGAACCCCCGCAAAACATACACCTGACAGACTCTGAAATAGGTTTCAGTTAAGAGACTCGGCATAAGCCTATCTCAATAAGCTTCTCATGACAGTGTTTTCAAAACCAACAAGCCAACAAATCAATGCAGACAGAGCCTGAGAGCAGCATATTGACGCAATAGCAGCCAAATGGTGCTGGGAAAAATCAAGACAACATTCAGAAACATCAGAGGGATAGTGAAGAGATGGAACCTACCAGTGGCATCCTCCAGCTACGCGCATCAATACTCAAAGAAAAGATCCGAATCAGGGTCTACGGGCAAACCCCGAGGTGAGGGAGACACGCCCCATATCAGATGTCGCCGAGAATTGAAAGGGGTCGGTCTGGCCACTGAGGAGAAAGGATCTTTGTTGATGCGGTATTTGCTCATGTGCTCCTCCAGGACAGCAAGAGATGGGTCTCGCATCAGGCCGAACACATTGATGGACTGCAGACAGGGTGCATGATGGAGACTTCTGGAAAAGCCAGAACAAAACACAAAATTCGTTTGCTGGAGAGCACCACATCAATGAAACAATGGTCACAAAAAGCCTGAGGGGGGAAAAGCTGAACAGATACACTAGAGGAAGGGAAAAGCAGTTGGAGAAACCAAATGTGATTTGTAAAAAAGAGATGTAACTGTAGAATTTAATGCGTCTTTTGACACAATTTAGATTATTGAGGAGCTAGGCTGCTTCGATCCTGCCCATCAGGGCTAACCCAAGCTGAGAGGGAAATAAAGCCCCAGGAGAAAGATTGAGAAACTTGATAAAAAATTATTTTCCCCACACAGGAATCAAGCTCACATCTCTTATGAGAGAAGGAGATACGCCTGCCTGCTATACCACAGATGCAAGTCAAATGCAATTTATAGAATGATTACGCTTACATTAACATAATCTAGATACTAATGAGGTGGGTTTCTTCGGCTTGTACATACGAGACTATTCCGCAGAAAGGCAAAGATACTGATACTCCACAAAAATATTCCACTACAGCAGTCATGCACACCCTTTGAATGCAGAGGTGAGGAACTCGACTATTATTCCACAGACACCAGTAAGACCAACTAGTGGTGTTTTCAGAGAAGCCATTGACACCATGATTCAAATACAGTTAGCATCCCTTCCGAAACATTATAGGGTTTAGATTGAAAAAGACATGAGAAATGCGGCAATTCTGCAAAAACTATAAATAAGCATAAAATCGGTGACATAATGATCTCAGAGTAAAAAGAGTGTCTATTTACAGTCATGTGTCCCCTGAAATCTCAAAGAGTTGGGAATAAGATATTTGTGGGTGAATTACATTACACTGTGTATTGCACCACCCATTAAGACAATTTCGATAATTTTGGCAGCACGCTGTTTTTTTCCCTGCCTGCCAGAGCCAGCATAGACTGACTGAGATACAGAATTCAAAGAGAAAGTAGACACATAATAAAACAAAACTCCCCAATATGAAGACTGAACTCATGTCTTGTATGTGAAGAGGCCAGAGCCTAACCATTTTACCACAGAGGTATGAGTATGATATATCTCTAAATAATGAAAATGGGCACAAAAAGCAATTTCATAACAGACGCATTAAACAGATTTTTATTAACCAAATCTAACTGCTCTAGAAACTTTCTTTTTTCTTAAAATGTAGACGTTTTACACCCCCATTTATACAATTTAGAACATTTATTAGGCAGGCTTCGACCTTGCCTGTCACTGTTTGGTTCAATCCAGGCTGAGAGGAATACATATAATGTCCCAGCAGACAGAGAAACTTGATAAGAATTCTCTCCATACAAGAATTGGAATCAAATTTTCAGCCTGCTATAGCAAGTGCCTGACCAGTACACCACAGGCACCAGTTATGTTTCAGTGCAGTTGGGTGTCAGTTCAACCAAAGACACTGGTACCTTCATAGGTATATCAAGTTATGCATTCCACTTGCAAAATAGCAGAAATAATAAATTGAATAGAAATCTAACCTAGAAATGCAAATATCACATCGTTTATTTTCAATGCAAACTCTTTTTCACAAGATTTATACATACACTATTTATTATACTATACACAAACACAGAGAGAAGTCCACCGAAAGAATGAATTTGTAAGGAAAGAAAAATGTGAGCCTTTACAGAACCTACCAACCCACAAGAAGCAGAAATTGGTTGGGATTTGAATGCTCAAAGTTGAGAATTTAGGGGAGATTTTTAAAAATGCGATAATTCAAGTTCAAGATCATTCTAGAATCAGAAAAAATTAAAAGTGGATTCAAGTTAGGTGCATTTACTTTACTCTTCATTGGGATTCTACTCTGCAACCTCATATATGACTGCAATGCTCTTTCTATGAGTTGCTTTCACTCACATATGTGATGAGTAACGCGGATAGCCATTACGAAAACTGTAGTAGTACACAGCCACACACTGTCCAGTAACCACGGAGGAAAGAAACTTGAACCAAACGATTTGGCAACCTACTCTAACAGTCTTTAGTTTAGTATGGGCTTTTACGGCGCTCGCAACTGCATAAGGTCATATGAGCGCGCAAAACACAAGTTAGTTGGGTTTTTTTATGCGTAGTTTACTGCACGGCTGTGTATGGGTTATTTGATCTTAAACGTAAAAATATAAAAAATTTGGTGTAGATATATAATTTCAGACTAAATAACTTTCATTAAAAAATCTAATAATTTAATTTTGTTCTATACTATAATTTTCCATAACGGCCAATGGCCTTCATAAAATCCAAAATAGTACAGTCGAACCTGCTTAATCTTAATGGTCACCTGTACTACCTGCCGTTGTTCCGTTACACCCTTGCATTCTTCCTATATTTATGACGTGTTCATAGCAGTCCCTGTCCATCGCAGCAAGGGTTATTCATTTTCGCAACAAATTGATATCAAAACCTGCTGATAGCAGTAACTAGTTACAAGTTTTCCACCAGCCCATCCTCAGACTGAGTGACTACTTTCAATCTACGCAAAGAAGCTCTTATGATTAATAACAATTTTGATTGAAATGAAATGGAAAAATTAAATTAATACTTTAGATTTTACACCCCCCTGGGATAGATGAGTATATTGATCCGCGCGTTGAATGTAAGGGGGAACTTGATTGAAGAAATTTCTGAAATGTTCGTTGTGGGGCACAAGAGCAGTCGAACAGTTGGAAAACTAAATGTGAAAAACGCCATTTTCGAAGTTTGACCAAAAACTAGTACCGTGGAATCAAGAAAAGAGAGGCACATTCTAGAGTCAACTTCTTTTTCCACAAACTGCCATTTTTCCTCTTTAAAGAATTGCAGTAAATATTTCAACAAAACACGACAAAAACAATCAACCTTTGTTTTTTAAACATGTTCTCTGCGAGATGATCAAGTTCTTTCCCCGAATCATGTGATTTCACTTGTGTTCAAAGAAAGAGTAATTTGTGGTTCTTTCAGTTCCTTTCCTGATTATTGTTAAGTTATATAACAATGCATCAATATTTCTCAAATTAAAAAATTGCTCCCTTATATTGAATTTGAATCATAGAGATAAAATTATTTTTTTGAAGCTGAACAAATATAAGAGACAGCTGTTCAGACAAAAATACAGACTGTGAGAGAATTAAAATGATGTATTTGACTCACTGATGCAGTTTTACAAAGATCACCTAATCTGTTATTTTTCATACCATTTTAACCAAAGCGTTATAAACCATTTTTATGTCAGACCCAAAGCTGATTTTTAAAAAAAATATATTATTGGTTGATATGGATTTGTCTCAATCTGTGAAAAAGTAATGTGGGTATATCGGGTTTTGTCAAAAATGTGTGGAGATCTCATCAAGGATAAAAATCCAACATAGGTTTCATCATACAGCAAATAATATCAAATAAGCCTTACAACAGGATTACTAAAAAAAAAAAAAACCAAGGCTGCTCAGGTTTAGTAAATGGAAAACAGAGGTCTCAATTTTTCGCTAAACTGAAAAAATTAAGTCGCGATTTGTCATGAAACTGTTCAGTTATTTTTTCATCACTTCACGCAAAAAGTGCTAGAAATATAGCATGAGCATTGCAGGAGGCCCACACAAAGGCTCAAACACAAATATGAGTCTTCGGTTGCATTATGGCATTGTCAACATAATTTGGCCATGTGTAAGTAAGTGCCAATAATAGATTGTCTATAATTGGCCTTTCTTAGTAATGGCTAAACGGACAGACGAACATACATAAAAATCTGTGAGTAAATATGTTAAAAATGTCCATTTATTTGTTATTTCTATACAAAAATGCATATAAATATATTTTCTAAAACAAGGTTTTATAAAAACGAAAATACATAATATGAAAATCTATATTTTTGTAGCCAAACTGCAATTTCCTTTCTAATATTAGGTAAAGTCTTAATATTTGTACATCTAAAATACAGTGCAGTACACTTTAACTGAACATGGTAAACCAAAAAAAAAGAAAATCTCCATTTCTTTTCTTTGTAGGAAATTATTGATACGCCGAAATACTCCCATTTCAGAACTGAAAAGAATTCGAGGGTCATGCTGTAAAAATCGCCACTAGCAACTCTCAAGTAAAGTAACACAAATCACAAAGATAGCCAATCAGAAGATACGTGAGAATGCATATGTGTCGATTGCGAGCCAGAGAAAGGCTGCGCCAGTGTACTGTTTACCTGTTTGTATTACACAACACACCTATTGGACTTTAGGCTGAGTCACGTAATGTATGAATTTCATGCGATCTTCATTCTAGTCTCTGTGAAGCTAGTTCACATTGGCCCTAAAAATGAGCACATGAGGTGTTTCATGAAATCATGGGCATAAGGATTTTATTTATCTCTATCTACTCCTTCGTCTGTTCTTTGCGACTATTCGGCAGATAAACAGGCAGACAATGTCGAAGAGAAAGCACAATACGTACAGCCTGCAGCTCAATTTCAGTTACTGAAAGAAGAACTGTTATAGGAGAAAAAACTTTCTTTACGTGAAGTTTGCTAGAGGTACATCATTTTCATCTCTACGCTGTTAACAGTCATGGCTATTTGAGCAATGCTCTCTAAACCAAAAACATGGCTAAACTGAAGAAAATGCACCGGTCCAGCAGATTTAGGTTCTCCACTGTATTTTACATGTGTATCTGAAAATTCAACACATTCTACGAAAATGTGTTGAACACTAAAACAATTATCACATGCCACGCATAAATCAGCTTTTCCCTCAGGGAGATCACGTGTTAAAAATAACTATTTCCCTTCATGGAAGGGATACCCGTTGTCTAAGTCAAAGCTTCTGATGGAAGTTATGGGGTTTGTATTTAGTTTTAGTTAGAGTTTAACAGCACTTGCAACACAATAAGGTCATATAAGTGCCGAAGATTAGAGGTGCTAAAAGAGTAACAAAAACAAAAAAGGAGGGGAGATAGAGACGACAGATGTTTTATTGGAAAGAAGGAGCAAACTACACCACAGCACCCACCAACCACCCATGGAGTTTGTATTTACTTTTGTGTTCCGAAAGTTACATTTTTAAAAGTAGAATCAAGATCAAGATCAATCAATCCCTATAGACTGTACGTATAGTAGAGCAACGGACAACATTCTTGAAAACACCAAGTCCAACACAATTTCGTGCTTGAAGCAAAGTTACAGGCACAATACACATAACAAAAGGGACACCAACTTCAAAAATGATCCAGCCATGTGAAGAGACAATAAAGAGGTAGGAGACATTTGTGCCAAACAGAAATTGAAAACAGCATATCAGATTCCCAACGACTTCCTACCATTCCAAACCAACAACCAAATTAAGACAAGATGTAGACACCACTAAAGACAATACTCAAAGACTGGGATCACAGATTTGGTCAGAGAATGGATTTTTTTTTCCAGATGGATGAGCAACAAGGTAGGAAAATACGCACCAGTTTGGAAAAATTTGGCCGTCAAAAACAATGCAGTAAGACTTTCAGATTTTTATCCACAGAGTTTTATAGGCCTACAGTGTTTTTACCCTCACCATGAGGAGGAAAACACTAAAATAGTCGAACCTGCCATAACGAAAATCGCGGCTCACCTCTTTGATAAATTTCTATATAATTACTTTCATATAACGGAAACCTGCTCAACCCGGAAACAGAATGAGAAATTTCTTCCCTTCAGATGGTTTTGACCTGCCAAGATGGAGAGTTCCTCGAATCCTAGTTATATACACGGGAGGGGTGGCATTGGTCGATCGTGCTAATAACACTGGTGGGTGGGGCTACCGGAGGAAACAATGGAGACATCCAATTGTTTCTGTTTTAATAGGTCAAACAATGGTCCTTTGAGATCCTAGCACTGGTGACACTGGATAAGTAAGACTGGCACAAGCCACCAGAGAGGCTAAGAGGATAGCACTTGAGAGTTTTGAGGTCTAGACCACTACTTGCTGTTCAGACAAGTGAGCCCTGATTGCATACAGGCTAGCCCTCTGAAATTTCTCTGTAATGAAGAAAAATATCTAAGATAAAGATGGAATTTTTTTTTCTGGCTCCTTTGCAATTCCGTCTTGGACTAGGTTCGATCAACTGTACACACCAGTTCATCAAAGCTACAGAAACATTCCAAAATCACCATGTCTAAAATTCAGCGAAAGTTCCATCTAAACACTACCATCACCTTTTCAGCTGAGTAGGCCAAAAGAATACCGAAAACAGAAAGTGACAATTTCTCCTTTCTGTAACTGAAATCCAAGTATGTAGACATTTTCTTCATCCCAGTTTTCTTACAACAGGGCTGAGAGCCATCCTTGTGGAAAAACAAAACACCCCAGATCATTTCTGGATTTTTCGAGAAGGGTTGGCAGGAAGGTTATGTGACACTGGGAACCATACAAACTCAAGAGGGCGAAGCAGGATTGTCTTGAAAATTTATAATCTGAGACTAGAACCTGAAAGTCCTTTTCTTGACAATTACATTCTATGAATCATGAAAGTTTTGTCCTGATATATGATGTGGTCTGTTACCGGTACCTGAAAGTGACATACTGTTTTCATAAGACCGTTTTCTCAAATCAACCTCTTGAAAAACACACAAATACTTCACAATCTTATAAAATCCATAACTTTTGTAGCTAAGATCAAAATCTTTGTAAACGCACAAGATGGTTTGGGTGTTGACTCTGTAGCATCGGCTCAAACAGATGGTCTGCAGGTGAGGCAGAGCTTTCGGGATCTTCAGCACAGATGCGTCTGTCACCTCCGTGGAATCGCTGAGGTCTAGAATCTTGAGATTTGGGCAGCGCTCCAAAATATCTTCAACCACTGAGGACGATACACAAAAGACTGATTGCTATCATCTAAAAAAATATCAACCAGTGGGGATAATGCTGTCATATCAAAACATCATCTATTGGGGATTAAATACATGTACTTAAGACTGCAATGATTTCAAACTACAGTCGAAACTGCTCTAACGGCACCCTGCCCAAAACAATCACCTGTACAAACGACCACTTCCCACTTATATTTTTTACTATATAATTATGATACCGCCCATGACATCCACCTGTCTAAAACAACCAATTTTCTCCTGGACAATGGGAGGTCATTTCGGACAATATCTACCGTAACATCAGCCTTTGATAATAAATATGATAGAGATATTTAGTCTGTGCCTTTGAGCACTTGTTTCTTACCTGTACATTTTCACTGACCATGGAGAACTGAAAGCATGAACTAACCGCTCATTGCTTATGGCGAACAATTGCTTTAAAAAAAATAGTTGAAACCACAAAACAAACTGAGAATTACCCCAACTTCAGGGCAATGAGGTACAGAATGTTGAAAAAAAACGCACACCACCTTGGCTATAAATTTCTCCATTTTCTGTGTCCTAATATTTAAGCATCCTGCTGGTGTTAAACATCCTGTAACATTTTACAGAGGGGGAAAAAAGGCCAACAATAAACACCCCAAGGGTGTCTCTTTTATATACCAACAAGTGAATACACAATCAACATGACAGAGAGAGCTGGGAGGAGGTAGTGACAGAATGGATTTATTCCTCACGGTGGATGAAAGATAAGGGAAACCGTTTCACTTTTTGATAGGGATCACAAGGTTTTTGCATACATCCTCCCTGTTTAAACTAGTGCCTGCTATCACAACCAGGGAGGGGATTTGGGGAAGTGTGTGAGTGTATGTGTGTGTGTGTGTGTGTCCCCGAACAATCTTCCTCTTCCTAGCAATAGTAATTGTGACAAGGTCCTAAAAATGTTGCAGAAAACAACCATTGGCCACCACCTTGTCTCTCTTACAGAATCAGATACTGAGTCACACTGAATATTTTTAGTCCTAGAGGGTAGGAATACCTCAAATCAGTTACTAAATACCTCCACGTGTGCCAAGACTGGCTGATACTTCAAAAATAGCATAGTAACTGACCTAGATAAGGAGAGGAGAACAAAGGTGATAAAATAATTATACCACCTACTAAACAGTTTTGGCTATTCACACCAGTAATATCAATTTCTCATCTATTTCAAACCAGTATTACACTTGTAGACAATATACCATTAACAAGCAGGAAAATTAAGTAATAAATTCTGGGGAATTCTGTCAGTGTTTTTATATGTACCATTTTGCACTTATTTTTTGGCTATTTGATATTAATTTTGACAAATTTTTATACAAGGAATTCCTATCTGTTAGTTACTGTTACAGACCTGCCACTCTATGAGATCTAAAAATCAGGATTTCAGGGGGAACAAAATCGGGATCAATGACAAATCATAAAGGTAACTGCCAATCTGACTAAAAATTTTCCTGGGGTATCCATAAATATATCCATGTATATGCCGTGTGTGTGTGTGTGTGTGCGCGCGTGTGTGCATGCGTGTGTTTCATCATAACTTTTTTAAGATCCTGAAGTATCACGTCAAGCGTTCCAAGTCCAACTAACACTGAGTTCCTGCCGACAAAAAGTTTAATAGGTGCTTCCTGCGACAGAGAAGACATAGGAAGTTTTTAGAAAAAAGCTGACGCAACAGACGAAAAAAAAATATTGGGATATCCCAGATGAATGGCAGTTCTGTTGTTACTTTGCATGCGCCTAGCCGGCTTATTTTGCATTTTCCAGGTTACCAAATTTAACTGGTGAGTTGTTCAGGACAAAGCCAGTTTACAATTGTCATCAGACCACTTGTTATGCCAAACAGCCCATTCTTTTATCAGTGTTTCAAAATGAAAAGCATTAGAGAATAACAAAACTCAGCTCACATCACGGTTTGAACAGGGTAGGGGTGTGTGTGTGTGTTTGTGTGTGTCTGTGTGTGTGTGCGTGCGTGCGTGCGTGTGTGTGTAAACTAACTGCTGCACTTGTGCCACAGCACCAGACCAGCAGTCTAGTATTTATCACCCGCAAAGAAAATAAAGAAAACGAGCTCTAAGATGTGTGGGACTGACTGAGAAGAAAAACATGGGCCTTATCCTACAGCATTTGTAGAACTGTTGCTCACCTTCGTCCGTCATCTTCTCCCGGTAGCCACTGATATTAAGCTGCAGCATCTGTCGCGGGAGTGCCTTGGCCACTTTGCGCACGTCGTCTCCCTCCATAGTTGTCCAGGAGATGTTCAAACTTTTTAACCTAAGTGGACAGGCAAACTCATGACAGCACAAAGAATTTCACAGCTGAAAACAAAAACAATGCCAAACAAAAATATGCGAAGGAAAAAAAACAAAACTTTAATTTTGTTTTGATAACCTACATTTTTTAGTTCTTATGGTAGAACAAAAGAACAACTGACTGCCATTTTAATCCCACAATACACGTAACAATACAGACCTGGCACTTTTCCTACTAAACTGTAGTTGTATTCCTTACTTTTTTCGCACTGGGCCAGACAATGAGGCAGACAAATATTCAGACACAAAATGACAAAACTTTTTACTTTGGGTAGACAAACTTGAGTTGTGCACTGCAAATCTTAGAGATGAAATCACCATATTATAGATTTTTAAATTACCCAGAGGGAATCTTTAGCATGCACAGTGCACTGCGTCTCAGTCTAACGTCTTTTATACAAGCAGATACTGAACTGCTATCCCCTATCCATCCCCAAGCCAAATATATATCAATTTTATGATACACAAAACAGGCTAAACATTGAAACTAAAAAAATAGTTGGTATCAAAATTCAAGGCCAGTTATAATCATAAACTGTTGGCATGCCTCCCTTTTTAAGTGTAACTATTAATTATAATAAAAACCTGATAACACTAACTTCACGAGATCAGAGAATTTTTTCACCGGAAGCAAATTTCATCAGTTAAGTAAAGGATAGGAGGAGGGGAAAAAAAAGGGGGTGGATTTGAAATTCTTTCGTAATAATGGGAATTTTGTTTTAAATGGCTTCATGTTAAACAAGGTCAATACATTTATGTATGGGCAGTAATTCCATGTCATATCTTATGATTTTGAGCAGTTTCAAGTGGTATAATTTGGTGACTTATGGGCAATAATTTCTGGACCAATAACAACAATGGGCAATAATTTCTGTACACCTCACCACCAAAACCTCGGTTTCTTCACTTCCATCGAATTCAGTGAGAGAAGCAACAGTAAGAGCCAACAATGGCCTTTTGTTTAGTTTAAGTTACAGGCAAGCAATAATAGGAAACATAAGCCATTCTTAAAGTCCTGCATAGAAGCATAGCAACAACTTAAAATTTTCAAGCTGTCAAAACATGTCAATTTTTATGCTATCGGCAGTGGGTGTCTCCTCCATTTCCAAGCCACTGAGAAGATAACCAGATGCAACATTTGCACTCGGGTCAATTTCCTAACAAATGGTACAAATCTTTAAAAAAATTTTTTGCTTCATCACCATCTGAGAATGACTTATGTATGCCATACAGTCTAACATGCACATAGAGCAAAATTGGCCACACATGAAAATTTTTCGTTATGTACAAATTTCAGGCTATGTTACGGGAGACAAAATATGCTCACAGACCCAAGACTCCCCACACACAAATAAGAAAGTGTGCAGACTATATCTACTGCTGAAGACTTTTGCGACATATGCAATAAACATTCATGGCATACACTATTGCCCTCAGCTAAAGAGGTTGGCGGCCTGCACTAAATCACCCACCACCATCACAGCTATTTCAGTAAACAAAATTTGTCCTTCTGTTCAATTAGATCTACCCTTGCTGATGACAATTTGTTCCACTATGAATCAATTGTTTTCGGTGTGTTTTGAATACAAAGATCATAACATATGAAAAAATTGACTTCAAAATCTGTTCATTACGTGCGTATTTGCTATGATCATGCAGGACTGTGGTAGAATTAATAAATGTCGAGTAACAGTAACTTATATAATCTAAATGAGAATGAAATGTACATACCATGGACAACCTGTAAAGATTGCCTTCAGTCCATCCCCTGTTGTCCCAGTACACATGGCAAGATTCAAACTTTGGAGGTGGGGACTGTTTTGGCCCAGATTCCTGCAACAGTCCACACAATATTAAAATCAGTGATACAATAATTCAGATCTGAAATAATCTCTGTGACAATGAACCTAGATCCTGGATAATACACTCTTCTCTATTATGTTGCCCCCGAAAGGGTTAATGGGTGAGAGGAAGTTTCTTGTCATGGACGAAAAATGAGTAATGCTTATTATACCTTTTACTCACCCAGCAATGAAGAATAAAAAGAATTACTTTTTTCTAGCCACAGCAAGGTTATGCGATGTCAATACAAAAGTAAGAACAAGCAAATATTGCAACAAACTATAAAAGAAATTACAATCGACAAAAATAAAAATCATACTAGGAACAGCATTAATTAAACAAACATATATATATATATATGGGAAAATAACCTTTGCACCTATAACGAAAGCTGAGTCAAAGGAGTAAGCTCCAATTCAATAGAGGTCTTAACACCCTTAATACTAATCTTTTGCACCAAGAACAACTTTTGAATACATTTTCAAAAGATCATACGGAGAATGTTTGTCAACAAAGAAAGATGGCCAGTATGTAGATGTAAGTAGAGAAAAAAAGCAGCTCCTTTTTATTGAGCCAAATCACTCTGCCATCAAATCTTTATTCATAATAGATAGCTTAGTATAGAATCTTGTGTTATTTTGTAATGCAGTTGAATCATTTTATCCTAACCAATTTTTGTGGGAAGAGCACTTCCAACATCTTAGGTCAGGCTAGTACATAGCCGCTGCAGGATAGACATATATATGGATCTATTTGGTTCTCCTGCTGGTTTTCCTACAAAGACTGCAGGAGCTGGATAGCATGTTAGTTTATTGTGCTGCTATGCTTTGTTAATTTTGGATGGATCCGACCAACAGATTTTACTCAACCACTTGGAAAGTGTGACATTCCATGGTAGTCAAATCAATACAACTAACAACGCTGGTGAAACAGAGTGCTCCGATCTGCTTGCCTGATACTGCATCAAGGCACAGACCTATAGTTGTCTGCTGCAAACTTGTAGAAAACTTTTTATTTTGTTTGTTATACATTTAGTCATTTAGTATTAGAAAAAGATGTGAAGGAGAAATGATGAGCACATTTGGTGTATGCTTTTGTTTTAAAGGGAAAACTTTGTGTGGTCTGAAATATGCCTTGCATCCAGACAAAAAAATAATATAGTAGTGAAATGTAAAAATAAATGTGAAATGGAAGCTGATTTTTTAGTCCAATTGCACTCTCCGTTTTCATTTACGTAAAAATTTTTGTTGGGATAGGTATTCTGAATTCCATTTTGGCAAAACTAAAACAGGACATCTATTCCAACATATTGCCACTTGGTTTATGTGGGCATTTATACATGTTTACTGTTTTTAAAAAACCCAAAAGAAAACCAGGCTTGATCAAAGAGGACATTTACTCATGATTACGGAAGAAACAGGACAAATCGGCAGATGGAAACAATGACACGGCTCAGAAAGTATTTATCAATTCTGACAAACACAGAAGGGACATCAACTTCCTCACTCTTGGCGCCAGAAACTATATATACAGAAAACTATCACCAAAAGAGAAAAGGGCAGTGCCGTGGACTCACATAAGTAATGCTTCTGAGATAGGAATGTGTTCTAAGCTGATTCTGTTCAGTCTGGGGCAGAAACGGAGCAAGTTTTCCACCAAATTTGTTTCTACATTTGCCATGCTCAAATCCAACATCTGCACACGATACATTCTGAAATGAACAAAAGAAGAATTTTAGTTTCTCAACAAAAGGTTAAAAGTGATGAAGCTTCAACCAATAGGCATACTACATACATCCCAGAAAAAGGAAACCAAATAGCTGTTTTAGTCATTTTATTACTTTGCAGTCACACAGCCAACAGTATAAAATACCCCCATCTGGTCACCCAGCCAGGAGAGCGACTGCAACAGACCTCGGGCCTGATGCAAAAGTGCGCCAGATGACCGGAACGGACAATTTTCAATGGCGCATTATTGCGCCAAGTGACTGCAAATGGTTAAATTTTCTTCTCTAAAATTGTCTTCTTTTACCTCCTTTCCTGCTCTCTGGCAATGTTCTGTCGTCTGCACTTTCTGCCCCCACCCCCTCTTCTGGGTTACTGACTCTTTATACAGCCTTTCTACCACTACTAGACCTGCATGTGAGCCTCAACCAGATTGTCTGAAAATTTTGTGGGTGTCATAAAAGGAAGGACTTTCGGGTAACGAGCGACCACCCCGACAAACACAATAAAGAAGAGACCTTATCCTAACCCTAACCCAAGGCCTACCCCTAAAAAGAACCTGCAACGGCCCTCATGTAAAAAGGCCAGAACAAGACCAAGTCCAAAAAGAAAAAAAAAACACACACACACACTCCAAAACAAACAAGGAGCATACATTGCTTATATTAGGGTTTGAGGCAATAATACAATAGAACTGGAATATGAATCCTCCATATATATCTAGTAGTCTAAATAAAAATCTAGATCTAGATCTAGTAGAACAAGTGAATAGGAATAGGCCTTGAACGAGAAATCCGCATCCGATTCCGAACAGAGGGACTCAGCAGAGTCTACTAGACTCTAGATCTAAAAATCTAATAAATAATTCACGCACCTGATGAAATGCTTTTTACCAACATTAATATTACAGCACAACCTATTATAGGGTTGACACAACAGAATTGGAATATGAATCCTCCATTGAGGAATATAATGATCAATAAATCTAGATCTAGATCTAGTAAAACAAGTGAGTCGGACTTGAATGAATCCCCATGATCAGAACAATCAGTCAACAAACGAAATTCAAAATGGCCGCTTGAGCACGAAACTGAAAGTACATAATTTAGGTCGTCGTCCTTTGTCGTATTCGTAGTTCTACTCAGGTTCCGACAATTATGTCGGAAACGCCGACGTCGGCACGAAAACGAAAGTGCCGACAAAGCCGATGGGGGAAAAAGGAGGCGCTGGCAGTCGGCCAGGCCTCGCACTTTGACTAATACAGGTGGGCCTAGTGATAGCATTGGCCGGCTCGCAGGTCGAATTTCAGACGATTGTCGGCAAACACGCAAGTCTACACTACTCAGCTTCAGCCGCCACCAGCGCAAAATTCAAAATTTCCAACCAACTGAAAATGTTATATGGGTCTCGTGTGTTCATTTGATCTTATGCAGTTGCAAGCGGCGTAAAATACTTACCAAAAAAAAAAAAATTCTTTTCAATACCACACTGAAAGCAAGAAAAGAGATGGAAATTTTTATTATGTTAATTATAAGGAATTTTTTTTAATTCAAAGTAACGACCGATGGTAAAATGATGTATTAACTTTGGCCCTCAGCTCACCTGTCCTCTGAAAGTGGCGAGCTTCTCGGATCTGGATTTCCATGGACTGTACTGGAAAATGACCCCATGACCTAAAAAAAAGGGGGTAAAGTAGACAAAAAAAGACATAAATAGTCTTAGCTTAGATAACTTGAACACATAAAGCTTATATTCATGGATAGCTCAAACAATATGCCATTCACGGATTGAACGGCTACGAAGCAATCCACTGGGAAATGTCAAACAGCCTGAACAATTTTTCCTCACAACTATCTCAAATTCAAATCAACCTACACACATGATGGAAAACAAAGACAAAAAACAGCCTGATACACACTTTGCTGATGTCGAGAGGAATCATCATACATTACCTGTAGAGTGAAGGCACTAGAACTTCCTCGAGTCTAGTCATGTAAGGGTGGGTACTGGGTGGAGGGGTGTAATCGAAGACAAAACAGTGTGGTGCTGAATTGGGCCGTATGACGAGTAAATTATGTTTGTTTATGTGTACACGTGTGTAAGCGTGTATGATTGTGTGAACATAAAAGGTTATATAGTCATGATTGTGATCTGACTTGAGTGCAATTTTATCTTTCAGTCGTAAGGCTCATCAGCATGATTCTCTAGCCTCTCTTGCTCCAACACTGAACTATATCCATTGTGCTATCCTTTTATTGATACCAGGTACTTCTCATGATGGCAAAGAAGAGTAAACAGTTACTTTTCATGGTTTTTCTTTAACATCTTGTGTTTTCTTCTTCTTTTTTTTTTATCAGTTTGCTCAAATAACAGATGCATCGAACACATTTGTCAACTCTCAACGTGTTCAAGAAATCCATGCTCATTGGGTCGGGTGCACCAATTTTTTTTTAAAACAAAAAACCCAAACACAATAATCAAAGAACAGATAAAGCATTATGAGAATAGAAATTTTGATTCTCTTTGTACAGTCAAGAGACTTTCCTAGTCATCAGATAACTACACCTGTGTTTACCTCGCATTGACTGGCTCTGAGAATTTGCACTCCTCGTTCTAACACAATCTTCAGCACTCCAGGCTTAATGCACTTTTTCCGTAAATCCAAGCGTCTCCATAAACTGAAGTCACACCTGTAAGAAAAATAAAAAGACAAAAATAAAAATAAAAATTCACCTCTCAAGCACAACTAAGTTAAAGTAGGTCCTTCAGCGATCTCTCCCTCAAACACAATAGGGCCCACAGCACTTTTGACAATTGTTCAGAAGCAGCTGAAAACAGCTGCCAATGTTTGCAACACACAAGAAAGGAGAGGAAAGGGGAAAAGGATTCTCAAAACAAATAAAATACATAAATGTATTCTAAAGTCCAGTCCTTGAAAACTTCCAAGTTTGCAGTTAAAATAGCACGATCTTGGAAAGCTTGTGAACAATATAATTTTTTTTCTCTTACAGAAACTTCTCCATTTGCGTAGATATTGCTTTAGACAACAAAAAGAAATCAACCAGCAGCAATATCGTTCTGCCACAGGACAGACTACAAAAAGAGCAACAACTCTACATTCCCTCGGTTCTCTTTGTCTGTAGCCATCTCAGAGAGAGTTGTTTGTGGTTCCTGCTTTATAAACATGTTCTTAATCAAATGGCTCTACTTTACAATGAGATTTTCCTACTTCACCCTATTTAGATTCCCAGCTCAATCCTAACACTATTACGTTCAAATTCAAATTTGTTCTCTTCACTCTGTTTACAATGTGTAAACAACAATTTATTAGTTTTCGGGATTTTTTTAGTAAGAGTATTACAACACTTTCAACTGCATAAGATCATATGAGCTTGCAACACAAGTTGGTGCTTCACACATTAAGCATTTTCAGTTTGTGGAAATACTAAAAACAAGAGTAAAAAGCTGGAAAAAAAGACTATCACTAAGTAGTCTGCTGACTGCTTGAAACAAAATAACAGTAACTTATAGCATAGACTGCGCACAGTATAAAAGAAACTACATACACAAGGCGAGTCCATCTTCGGCAAACTAAGGCACATGTGCACATCATGTGACGTGGTAGACGGTGAAAGACTTCAAGGATAATCTCATCTGAGAGTTTATCAAACACATCTGGAAAAGAAAGAACCAAGAAAGCAAAAATAAATATTCACTTCAAGCAATGCGCAGTTTGTAGCACAACAAAGCATTCAGTTCTACATTCAAATCTTATTTCAGAGCGGAAAATCTAAACTCTAAATTAACAGCACTTGAATTAAATCAATTATAATCAATATATAGAAACAATAAATTATTTAGGAAAAGATCGATAAAGTGAATGCATTAAAGTAACTGAGAAGGGGTTATTGAACTATCCAGACAGAGTTTACCATAATGAACACAAAGCATGTGCTGTAAACTGCAACGATTCTATTGCCCGACGTATCTGCATACCAACCTATTACCTGACTACTTATCAAGCAGTATCTCCTATCTATTTGACAATCCAATCATAGGATTAATGCATCAGCTCAGCCCCATAGAACAGCCTTACAATGACCAATGTCACTATACCAGATATTTCTCACCTAAGTTTTGGAATTTTACTGGAGGAATAAAAAAAAATTACGATTTTTCCTTGGAACAGGACAGAGAACTGTCCACCTAGTTATTAAGAGGAACAGAAGAAAATAGGTTCACACCAATTTTAACAAATTATCTTTAAAAATGTGTAACTCACATTGAAGTTATACTCAACTGCAAGTTAACCTCAGAATATTTACTAAAAAGAAACTCACTTATTAAAAATGAATAGAAGAGACAAACAAATAATTAAAAGCACTTCAGAGACCACTATGACATTAAAAGAAACAAGCAAAGGGTGTAACAAAAAAACTCACTAAACCCTCTATATGTTTCCTCTCCAAGCTTCAAGTAAACTTTTGACTTCACTGTGGGCGGAGTTCTCAAAAATGCATCTGGGGCCAAAAGCTCTCGGCCTGAAAGACTTGCATTGGGTGGATTTTCTACATTAGCACCTTGGTTCAGCACAAGAATCCGAGGTGCCTGATCAGAAGATTCAGATGATTCCTTCAATGTCAATTTGCATAGAAATCATAGCTCAAACTAAATTTTCTGACATAGGGGCACTGACATATCTTGACTAAACACACATGACACATTCCCCAGTTTCAGTGGCAAGAACGTCATATCAATTGGCAAAAACTCACACATGAACAAATGCAAAAAAACAAAAATGAAGATGTAACAGATTCTTTGAAAATCATTAATCAAATGCCATCATGTGCTAAGTCTAGAGTATCAGTGCCAACTAAATGAAACCTGTATTAGTAAGAGTATGGGTTTTCCTTTCTGTCTTGAAAACGGAGCAAACGTTAATATTCTTCTGATTATATGCATCCTCCATAGAAAATATAAACAAGGAGATTTCATCAACGTCGGTGATGCAAAATAATACGGCCAAAGCCACACACACACGACCCCTCTCTTTGCAGTGGATTGACCAAGAACACTAGTTCAGAAATCTGACAAAAACCTTAGTAAGACAAGTTTTAACTTCATATCTATTACTTTTTAACTTTTCTGTGGTTTCAAACAGAGGGACTCATGTGATTTATAAACATATTTGATTTTCATTGGAAATTCTGTTTAGGTAAATTTTTACTTTCACTCCCGCACACAGATGCACTGTTTCAGGGGTCAAACTGCTGTACTGTTTGCTGCAGATCACACATAAAGCCACTAAAACTGTCGCAAATCAATTATTTTCAGGACAATTTCAAATCTAACTGTAAAATATCAAATTATGGGTGTAAAAACAGGGGGGCATGCCCCCCTGTAACCCCCCAGATTTTCTTTTACCCCAGTGGGGCAGGCCCCCCCCTGGAACCCCCCGATTGGTCCAAAGCATGTCTATCTCGGTTAAAAACAATCAAATATTTCAAAAAAACTATTAATTTGCGACGGAAATTAAGTTGATATTCGTGTTCAGCGCATCAATATTTAGTAGAAAATAGACAACTGGTAGCTGAGTGTGAGACGAGAGGGAAAGTAAAAAAATACCTCTGTTTATAAATGAAATGGTCACCATGAGTTTGTTGCAATAAAATTGTCAGTAAAACATGGATCCCTAGCAAATTTGATGAACAACCATACAATTAGACTGGACAATTCACAACTTACTCCTGGGCAATTGGGACTGTCAGTGTCATGGGAAACAATTGCAGGGGTGACAAATCTTTCTTTGTCAGCAATTTCCTCGCCTGAGGGGGCATCAGGGTCTTGCACTGTCTCACTGTCTGCAGCTGTTTCACCACAGTGTCTTTTCAACCGCTTCTCAGAGACTGATCTTGTTATTGGAGGCCTATTCTGATTTTCTTCCCCAGTGTCCTCATGCTTGGGGAATTCTGACTCACTGAAGCAAAAACACAAAAATGAATTTAATAAAAATCTAAAGAGTAAAAATCAAGACTAACTCATGATTCACTACCAATCTCAAAATAAACTAAAACGTTATCTATCCCTCTTTGGGTGTACACAAGAACAAAACAAACAATGACAGAAAATGCTAACCCCATTAGGCAATCAGAGAAGTGTGCTAGGTGCTCGCTGTAGCTTCAGGTCTAAACTTAAAAACAAATGAGAATGTGTGAGACCTCTCCAAATTTTTTAAAACGTTTTTTAATATGAACATACAACATCTGAGTCTAAATTTAAGAAATCTTTAAAGACACATTTAATGACATCCTTTTTATGTCAGTAGACTCATGTTCAGTACAATGTTATGTAAATGACTATGTATCCATTTATGTATTTTGTGAATTGCATTGTGTATATATATTATTTTATGCTCATTTTGTGACGATGTGTAAGCGTGTGCGTGTGATAAGCAAGTAGATATGTGTGTGTGTGTGTGTGTGTGTGTTTGGCATACATGTGTGTTTGTGTATATGTGTGTGTTTGTGTGTGTATGTGTATATGTGTGTGTGTATGAGTGTGTGTTTTGGGCGTGTGTGTAGCGTGCGTGAATGTTGCTTGTACATGCATTTATGTAAAGCGCCTAGAGCTGTGTTTACATGGGAGTGGGCGCTATAGAAATGATCTTCATTATTATTATTATTTATTATATAAAAACAAACAACGACGACAAGTTGTGATCATTCAAGTAGTCAGGATGTCTCAAGCCTGCCCACCAGGGTAAGATTGTACTTTACCGGATCACTGGTCGGAACTACTTTCGCTATGGCGCCCCTGGTGCCTAGTGGTCCGTTCTTTCTTTCAGAGCTTCCCCACCCACTCACTCTCCTATTCAGTTTTGATAGGAAAGAAGGAGCAAACCACACCAGAGCACCCGCCAACCACCCACCCTTCGACTACAAACAACCGACTGACATCTTACCGGGTTTTTCAGTCATCACGACCATGCCATCGTGCCCTTTGACCCACGACCCTGACACCATGAGGCCAATTGGTCAATCTAATCACGTGCTCCACTAGATTCTATATAAATTTGCTCGCGACTCTGCTAGGCTAGGCCTACTACTGGTCCGACAAAGTACAATGGAGGGCGAGAGATGCGCATGAGAGCTCATTTGCATAATTGCAACCCCCTCGGCCCTGCTCGCGACTTGGCAAGTGCAGCGAAGCAAGGCTCGGCCTGTTTCAACTCCAATTAGATCTACCCCAATTGTCCACTTAGCTCCATGGTCCGTTCATGTTATTGTTTATGTGTGCGTGTGTTTTTAAATTATTGTTGCCAGGGGGGCTGAAACCCCCCCACTGTTGTTATGTAAGCACGATTGTCCGCTAATGTTATTGTTTTGCATTTTTGTGTGTTTTCTTTAAAATTGTTTCCAGGGGCTTGCGCCCCCCCTGAACCCCCCACTGTAGGTATGATACACGGTGGTCCACCACAGTTAAACTAAACCCCCTAGCCACCCTCAACCACCACTCACCTCGCCTCGCCCTGTGCGCGAAGTCGCCCGCGGAAGTACCTTTTGTCCGCACGTAGAGAACTATGAGTGCGTAGTTAGGCTAGGCGTGCGCAGTAATCATGGGCCCAGACTGGTGGTCCGGTAAAGTACAATCCAGCCAAAATGGAAACCTGTCTAGATCTAGATCTAATACAAAATGCTGATATGGAAAGAGAAATTTCTTCCCTTCGGAGGGTTTTACTTGTCTCTAAGACAGAAAATGCTTTCCACACTCAGCCCTGATTTGAAACAAAATTTCCAAGTTTTGTTCCATCTGCTCTAACCGTCTAACCTTTACGCCATGCTGCCAGGCCAAGAAGGGGAGCACAGGTGCAATTTGGGGGTAGATTAGATCATGTTACTGTTACCTCATCCATGTGAGCGCTTAGCGGCTTAGCCTTAGCAGTGCTGATTGCCAGGGTGCTGTGGAGTATGATCTCACCAGTGCTTGTCACGTGAAACTAGCAGAGTGGCCATCCAGCTCGGAAATGTTCATGGGTTGCCAGAGGATTGGGAAGGACTTCCGTAACGAGCGACCACCCCATCAAACACAAAGAAGAGTAAGAGGCCTTTCTAACCCTAACCCTAGCCCTCAATTCTGCTCTGCCTCAAAGTGGTTGCTCGTTACGGAAGTTCTCCCGAGGATTGAAATTAGTCTGACCAATCAATACCTGCTGCCCTGATGATCGTCCAGGCAACCGATTATAAGTTCGGCGCTTTTTCGGTAGTTCCCACCCCGCAATTGTTATTCACGGGTTTTGGCCCCGGAAGTGGCTATTCTCATCCGGGGTGAGAATAGAAAAACGATCTACCTCTCACCCCGGGTGAGACTTGCCAGCGTAGGCTATTCTCACCCAGTG